AAGCGGACGTATAGACAGAGCAATCTTTATTAGAGGCAGGGAAGAGGAGGGCTGCAGTATAATGTTTCATATATATGTGTATATGCTTCCTCCGTTCACTCAAGGAGAATACTTACTACTCACTAAGAAGCTTTTGCAGAGCAATCTACATGTTATAGAAAAGTCTTTCATGTGTTTGAGGCAGCAGAGAGGTGGCTTAGGGTGCTGTAGTTGTGGATAAGGCATGAGCTAAGGGTGAAATACAGTTAAGGTTCAGTAAGTATTTGGAACAAGAAAATTTCTATGACTGAATGAGATGGCTCAGATGCACTCAAGCTTAGGTCTCGCAGAAGCTTCTTGCAAGATCATGCCTAAAAACCTGTAAGTTTTGTGTATGGGTTATTTGTGTATACTGGCTGCCTTGGTCTAAAAAAAATGTTTGATTCAGATCTCTTCAGCTGTAGAAAAGCATAAAAGAGTAGATTTAGACACTGAGTTTTGAATTCCATTTTCCATTTTCTTTTCTCCATTTCTCTCTTATGTTTGGGAAGAATTAGTATTTTAGACTATTTTCCCAAATAACTGTTTGATCATGCATCTCTCTGTCCACCAGTCCTTCTGGATGATTTGAGGGCCTGCTGGAGCCCTCAAGTGTAGACCTCCCAGAGATACGAAATTTCTGTGGTTTTATGAAACCTAGTAGCTGACTAAAGAAGGACCCATATGGTGCCCAACTGTATGAGAAAGGGAGCCCCTTATCTCTGTGAGGAGTATCTGGATAATGTTAGCAACCATAATTCCTACATGTACTGGCATTTGCTTTTCCTAAAGAGGGTGAAAATGGTGGGGGCTGGTATGTATGGGAGCGAAAGTGAAGATTAGGAGATATGGTATCCACATCTTGTTTGGCTTCCTGATTTCCCCTGCTCAGGGTGCATCTTGGTTTTCATTCTGTTTCCTTTGCTCCCTTTTTCATTTGTTTGTTTTTATCGTCTATCAAGTTTATCATTATGTGCTCACGCACATAAAATCTTTATTAGCCGTGCGTATTCTCTATTCTCTGTTTTAATTTTCCTTCCTTCTTTCTTTGTTAACAAACTCTGCTGATAGCAGATGTTTCCCATTTGACAGCACCTGAGACTAAGGTTTTCCAGCCGCGCAACTGAATGAGTGCTGGCTCCTTCCCCTGGCCACCCCGCTGTGTGGGATGGGACCATCCCCTGGTAGAAGCAGGGGAGGAACCTGCCCTCCGGCCAAAACTGGGGTCACAGTGCTCCTTGAGGTCAATAGGACAGAAGAGAAATAGAAGTTGGGCCGTGGTCTTCGGTGTGGTTATAAACAGGGGTGTTCAGGGTCCACATCCTTGTGCTTGTTTGGTCTCTTTGAAGCGACTGGCCAAAGGAAAGGTGAATCAGGATCAGTGCTGAAACTGAGAAGGTCCTTTGTGCTCTGTGTTCCACCTCATCTGCTCTCAAAAGCCCTGGAATGGTGGATAGATGTTGGCCACATCTGCTTCCCACCAACTTGGTTTGACGTGACCTGTGCACTGACAACAACCAATGTCAGAGAACGTATCTCCTCCCTAGTTCTGAGGGTTTGTGCTCTCACCCCCGTTGTAAGTGAAAATCGGGTAAAAAGAATTTCACATGCTTTGCACCAGTTTTCCTAAGTCAAAATTCTATATTGATACCTTCTACAAAAGGACCCGGTTTCTCCTCTGGTTTTAATGGTAGCTCCATTTCTTAAAACATATCTTGAACAGTAACGGACCGTGCAATTGTGTGGGCATGTATCCGTGTTGTTGCTGGGCACCATGCACACCCTTTCCTTTGGGACAATGGTGGAAGAATGTTTTTGCAGCAACATCTCTTGAAATCCTTCCTAACAAATCCTTCCCTAGTGAGTTTTCTAAGAGATTATTCTGCCTTGGACAGGGGGAGTGAATAAATCATCTTCTGGCCCAAGCCTTTTATGATCCTGTAATCTTAACACGTTTTCTAGAATATCAGTTTAAGGGACACCAATAAAGCATTTGCACAGTCCACGTGGGAAAGGCATAGCTTCTGATTTGTGTCCTCTCTCCTTCATACTTCAGAAACCCTTTCTATTCTTTTCGACCTTGTTTTTCAGTAGGGATGAGAGTTTCTTTTCAGGCATTGATGTTACCTGGTGTTTGAACTTCAGTGGCTACAAAAGTGCAAACCACCCCTCTTCCATGGGGATGAATCTTTAAATAGAGATTCTGGGACTTAAGAAATTTGACAGAGCTGCCTGGTGGATCCTGTGAAGTGCTCCTCATCATGAGCAGGACTTGCACTGGGAGCGCCACTGACCACAGGAGAGTAACTGCTGTGACCTGGAGAAAAGTAAGAGCAAATAAGGTAGATGGAAGAATCAGGAAACAAAATTTGGGGGCATCTTTCACCAGCTCAGCGTTCTTCATTGGTTCCTAGTGTGTCATTTTGCCCCTTGGTCTACATAATGCCTATGTAAATAATAGAGGACTTTTGTGGCCAGTTTCCCATAGTTGTTCCTCAAAATGGGTAACTCCAGGGAAATTAATAGCAGGGATGCAGAGCATACAAACAACGGTAAAAAGATGCTCAATCAATGTGCTTGGGGAAAAGTCCTTTCTGAAAGGGCAGGGGTTTGTAAACCAGATCCCAAAGCACATCCCATGGGAGAAAGCACCTCGACATTCACAGAATCGGTGGACAGGAGGGCTGGAGTCATCCATGGGGCTGAACGTCTGGGGAAGAGCCACAGTAAGGGGCACTGGCAATTGAACAAAATAGTCAGATGGAGGAAGATCCTAGAGGCAAGACCAAGTACCTCGAACTTGATAAGATGGGGAAGAGGAGGTGGCTGAGAAAAGTCTTGCCATCCATGCCAAAGCAGCCTTTGCATTTGCTGGCTGCTCGTTCCTTGTACCGCCGAGGCGTGCTTTCCTTCTTGCCTGTGGCTCTTCCCTCCTGAAAAGCTGCTTTCAGTGTCAAGCAACATCATGGTTTATTACAGTGTCATTTTCAGGTTATACCAACAATGCAAAAGCAAAAGATGTGTTATGTCATGTCTCATTTACTCAGTCGCAGAATCGTTGAGGGGCGTCTTCTACTTGTGCTCATCATCTTTAAGCCTGGGCTCAGCTAAGTTCTTGGGCTGCAGTCCTGGAAACACGCCACGTATTTCTTAGCATTGCAGCCACTGTAGTAGTGAAGATGGGGACAAGTCCTGAAGGATATGTCAGTGAAAGCCTCCACAAATCACAAGATCTAATTCTACTGCTCTATATAATTAGCGATTAAAATGAGTAAAAACAAAGCAGCAATTTTCTTATTGATCCCTCAGCAAATAGTTCTGTCTATTTTCTTCTGTATTGTTTCTTCTTATTAAATAGCCTTGAATAAGAAATGTCAGTCAAATGAATTTAGATTCCTGGTACTTTCAGACAGAAATCAAAGCAGGATTGAATGAGGAAAGATAATTAGAGAGAGGAATTCCACCTCCACAGACTTCTCCCCTTGCTCAAGGAGTGCTGATTTTATCTAAATTGCCAAAGCCGTGAGCAAATGAGAGGTGATGGGAATTATAGACTGCAGATGCTGAGACAAAGCAAGGGAAGCTTTAATTAGTGCATTTTAAGGTAGAAATGAATTTCCTGGGAATAAATTATTTGACTCAAGACATATGGAGCTTCTTAGAGGTGAGCTGAAAAGCTTTTTACCTGCCAGAACCAGGGCTCACAGGTTGTATCTGTCATGTAGAAATGAGGGACGCATCACGGAGGTCTGAAACACGCAGGGGATGAATCCTTCTTTCCTTTGTATCTCACTTTTTTTTTTTTTTTTTTTTTTTTTTAATATGGAGCAATTCTCATTGCTGCAGATTCCCACCAATGCAAAAAAAAGCAAATTTTTTTCCAATACCCATGTTTACTCATTCAAGTGCTAGTGGTGGACCTACTGTTGCTGAGGAATTGGGAGTTACGTATTAAACCTACAGCTACTGAAAGGAAGTTATTTTCCTTTCAAATTCTCTTATTCTCCTTTCTTAGCTCTGTTTTCATCATTCCGTCACACTTGCACACACGTAAGGACACTGGGAAACTTAAAACACTGACCTTTCTATTTTTCAAGAGACTTCCACAGCTTTTCAAAGGGTGAGAAAGTGACAACTCTCTACTGTTTGGAGGTAGATAGAGATTCCTGTTTGAACTGATGGAGCTGAAACGAAACCATTTAGCTGGGTGCTTTAATCTAAAACTCCCTGACTTCAGCAGAATTATTCAGGCTCTGAATTATTTACATACTCTGCGTGAGGCAGTTGCTCACAAACGTTGTTGAAACAGGCAGGAGTGGGGCCAGGGCCAGATCTAACGGTTATGCTATGGGAGTGCTTACAGCCCCCTGGTGCAAGTGCTGCACAAACACAGGATAAACTGTTTTTGCCCCTCCAAGAGCAGCTTTATTCCCCTCTGCTCTGGAGAGCAGGAATGAAAGCACATTGAGAGGCTGGCGGATGGACAGGCCACCCCAGCAGCACCTTTGCAACAGCTTGGCCTTTGCTGTCAGTGCTGGTTTCCATGAGGTACGAGTATGACCTGGAAAATCACCCTGTCCTCCCTTCCTGGGATGAACCACCGCTCGTGATCTTCCCAAAATCCTGCTCTGCTCCCAGCCAGATGTGTAAGATAACAACAGGTAGGGAGAGCAGAGGTATGAAGCTTCAGCTCGGTCTTTTTGACAAAATGACCTAAATTCTCATGAAAAAAAAAACCAAAAAAAAAAAAAACCCACACCCTCTTTGGGAAAACAAGTATCACACTCGCTGGTTTTTCTAATGTTCTGGTTGCCTGTTTCAGATGTTGCTATTTTGTCCTATAGGTTCATTTGTATTACCCATGATGAATGAATGCGGTCAAGAGGTATTGAACGCTGATGTGTTTATCTTATGGCAAGATAGAAATGTTACAAACTTGTGAGCTACGGGAGGAAATGGGCTAATTTTAGATTTGTTCCTAGCCCTCGCCATGCGAATGGTGTCGCTGCGAGCCCAGCAATGAAGTTCACTGTGTTGTAGCAGACTGCGCAGTTCCCGAGTGTGTCAACCCAGTCTATGAACCAGAACAGTGTTGTCCGGTCTGCAAAAATGGTAAGAAAGTCCTGTATTGGCTTTAACAAAGAGATATAAAGGAAACATTTCATTAAAATGTTGTTACTGATGCATCCGTAGGAGATTTGCTTCCATCAGCGCAGGCTGGTGTTGGGGCTGTTACTTCTCCTTGTGTGTGGGCTTCAGTTACAAGGTGGCAACTGTGAAAATTAAGGCTGCCCTTCCAAGTCTTTGTCTTCTCATTGAAGCTGATGGGATTGCTGGCTTGAGTAAGGCTTTACAGGATTGGGTCCTGATATCGGTGATAGTTGTTTCATGTCTTTGCTTTTTTCTCTTAATTAGTCTAACATAAAATCAAGTATATAAGAAAAGAGAAAGTCTTTGTCCCTAAATTAAGAAGTCAATGGTTATTACCTAGAGCCAGGGGAAAACTCACCAAAATCAGTGGCAAACCTTCCATTGGGGCCAGTAAGACACCCACCAAGCCTGTAGCATTGTTAGTTGTGTGCTGGAGTCTGTGTGTGTAGCGTTGGCCCTCGTTGTCCTGCTGAAACGATTTCATGAATTGGAGTCCGATTCAGCAATACTCTCAAGAAAGGCTTTGGGATGACTGAAAGTACCTCTCTGGAAAATAAATCCGCTTCCAAGCAGGTCTCCCTGGTCTTGTACCACAGCCTGTACACACATATGTCTCTGGAAAAGCACGTTTCTCTTACTGTAGATATGAAGACAGATTAAAAGCTGAGCTAGCTTTGCATAAACCTCTTCATGGCTTTCTTAACATGTAAGAAATGACTACTTAGACTCATCTTCTCGTGTTTAGTATTCACTATCCATACATATTTTCTCTTACATACATCACTGCTGCTGGAAAAGAGTAATGGATGCTTTTGGATCTAAATGAAAATGTTTACAAAGAAATAACATTTTCAACACATTTTCTGCTCTTTAAGACAGAGAAAAAGTGAAGAGTTGGAAATGCAAAATATTTTTACTAAAAGAATTGTCAAAATTAAGAGTGCTCTGGAAAATTGTACCAAAAATACCACTTGAAATCCCAGGGTTTATATTATACCATGATTTTTACTCTAAACTATTTTGAAAGGTTTTCATGTAGAGTTTTATGTTTCTGTTGAAAAGCAGAAAATGTTTGTAGGAACTTTCATTGGTTTGTCGTTGCTGTTGATGAACTTCAGAGAAAAGGTATGTTAACGAGCTCTATGCACCGCCTTTGCATACGGCCTGCTGTGCTTGGGTGTGAGGTTTCCCATCGCACTCAACAAGATTGATGACTTGGGTTGATGACTGGGAGGGGTAACACTGCCCATCGCCATGCCTGTCACTGTAGCTCAGACTCATTTACACCCGAACAAACGCCGCTCGTGTGGGTTTGGCCCCTGTGTTCCCATCGCGTGTAGGGCACCATGCCGAATCCCCCTCATTTACGGTGACGGCACTGGCCAATTCCTTCCCATCTGGTTCACGTCACGTGAATCCAAACTCTGAGCATTTCTCAGGCTTCCCAGGAGGGCAGACTCAGAGGTGGCTTCGCACAGGTCTGGGAGCTGCTGGATTTCCCTACCAACCCTTCACCACCATGACCATTTCCCCCGATAACCAGGCTCTGTGGGGTCGGTGGCTTTCTGTGTTGCAGTCCTCTACATCTCTGGTGACTGGGAGTGGACATTCAGAGTGCCCAGATAACCAGGAGGCAAGGGAAGGAAGCAGCTCCTACTGATGGGAACAAGAACAGGACAGAAGGCAAATTGGCCACCTGCTGAAGGGGCTCCAGGGCACACCGTAGTGATTGGAACCCTCAGCTAGAAGCCAGGAGACTTCCTCCACGGTTTTGCCAGATTTCTCCACTCCTCTCTTCACTCATCTGTTGGAGATAAAGTTCTTGGAAACCTGTTTTAGGCAGGGAAGTATTTTTTCACCACCCTCTTCAGAGCAGCCTGCATGCCTTGGGGATCCTGGTCTCTGGGGACTGCAGCACAGCTCTGAGCCAGCAGTGGATGAAGGGGAGAGGCGGTGCGGTGGCGTGGTTGTTCCTTGGGAAGGAGGAGGATGCCCTACACGAGGGGGGTACTGTGGAGGGGAGATGAACCCCTCCTTGTGTCCCAGCCTGGCTGTAGGGATGAGATGTGAGACCCCCCAGCTGGCAGGGCTTGCTGCTCCTCCTCCTGCAGCTGGAGCTGACTGGCTAACATTTGGCCGCTGCTTGTAGTTTTGGCTTTATCCTTCGCAAATGAAATGAGATAATTCACACAGTGATACAAATCAGTAGGCACCAAGATAGTCTCCATTGTCACAGGGAATTGGATGAGCAAATTTTGTAACTGCTCTTGGATATGGCTCTGAGTGTGGTGCACACCCTTCTCCTCCCTCGTACATTTTGGGAACTTTATGTGAAAGAGTCACAGACACTGCTGTGTCTCTTGCCCACTGAATCTCTCTGACACATCCTAATGAATGAGGATCACAACAGTTTAAGCTGTCTATTCGTCTTGAGACCAAGATTTTATCTTTCGGCTCTCCACTGCAGCCAGTCAATTAAAGCTCAGTTTCACAAATGCATGAAGATAACACAAGCTGACAGATCCACTTAAATGAATGAAACCTCCCTCCCCCCCCCCCCCCCCTTTTTTTTTTAATTTATTTGTGTTTTTTTCTTCCATCCATCCAGTGGCTTTTGCTTTCTACCGAAGTGGTAAAGACAGTTACAGTGCCATGTTTCAGTGTGATGAAAACATTTTGGCTTAGTCTCAGTCCCCGTGGTCATCATTTTAGACTGGCAAATAGAAGAGCTCAAGGAATGCAGCTTTTGGGGGCAGGGGGAAGTTAATCCCCAGAACAACACGTAGTGCAAATCCTCATTTCAAAAGCTACTCCTTAAAATTTTGGTAAGGAAAATCCTCATTTTAGGTTAAAACATAGCCCTGCATCATTTGCTGCACTGTGCTAGCAGCATGGCTTACCTGCTTGTTTAGCTGTTGCTGCTATTAAGGGGTGAATAATTTCCTTTCGATAAATTCAGATAGATTTTCATGCCTTTCTTAATTATGTCTTGCAAGGGCAAAAGTGCTATGAGGCAGTGAGGTTAATGCAAAAATCTGTTGATTCTAACATACTCGACCTAAAGATTCATAAAAAGCCAATATCAATTTCTCTCCCTCTACCATCATTTAAGAGCAGTCTGAACAAGTGGCTTTGCAGATTTATTCCTTATTGTCAAAAGAAATAGAATTGTTATCTTGTGTTTCACTAAATGCTGAAGCTCATGCAGAGCTGGCTCTGCTCAGCAAGGGATGCCGCATTACACGCAGAGCAGGTGGAGTTCACTGGGAGGCTAAAATTTGGGGGTGAGGGAGGGAGAGGACGATTCCTCCTTCGTGTCCCATTGTCCAGTTTGTCAGAGTGGATTTTGAGGGCGATGGCTCCAGGTGCTGCTCAGCATTTCTGTTGTGGAGATGAAAGGTCACTGGATTTCACGTTTCCTGGCAGCGACGGACTGCAGAATTATGGCCCCGAGTTGTTATTTTTAGTCATTGTGACTTCTCCAGACGAAAGTGTGTCAGCTATTGTTAACTCTCTCTCTCCTCTGTGGGATCTAAAACTTGCCTATGACTGTTAAAATCAAGCTCGTGGCTGCCACCATCTGTGCTGTCCCTCCCGCCCCCCGGTTCTCATGCCATTCAGTGAGAATATCCATCCACTTCGCTTACACCGAAGCATCTCTGAGCAAAAATCCCCCATGAGGTCCCCATCCTCCTGTGTCTAGGACTGCAAATGTGCTGGTCTGGTCTTCTCCTTACCTCCCACGGGGTTTTCTCACCTGACCATGAACTTTTCATTTCCAAACCTCTGCTTGTCCCTCCCTGCAAGCCAATCCACTGCTGCGGCTTGCGCCTCGTTACCGGTGGGACGTGTGCTTTTTTAAAGCCCTTCCTTGCGCGTTGCTGCAAGGTTGCTCTTTACGTTTCCTTCAACCCTTTGGACGTGGTCTGGCAAGGATGCAGGGACCGGAGCGGGGCTTCTCCAGTGCATCATCCCATGTGTCTCTTCATCTGTGATCCAGGCTAAACAGGTTCCTCTTCACTGCCAACTCCAAACAGCTCTCCCCTACCGCTGTGCGCAAAGGGAGAAATTCACCGCCCAGCGCTATTTGTTCAGAGCCAAAACCACCCACTCCCAGCGTGTCCTTTTGGGGAGGATGAGCAGATCCAGCAGACGGTCCCCAGGTGGCCTTGGAGGTCCCTCCTCCAACGCCGTGCTGAATTAGCGACACGCTGATCCTTGCCCACTGCTCGAAGGGGGCTCAGCTTCACGCCACTTGTGCATCCGTCCCCCGTTTGCTGCTCCGTGGAAGAAAAAAACAGAGGCAATTTCAAATTAGCAGCTTCCCAGCTGCTCAGGGAAAGGCTGGAGGTGACTGGAGGCAAGGAAAGGGCAGCGCAGGGTTCCCAGCGACCCGTGTTCCCCAGATTTCACAAAGTGCTCCTTCAGAATTGTATCCCAAAATAATCTCGATGTTAGCAAAAATTTATCATCATGGGGAATTTTATGGCACAACCGTGTCTGGGAAATTAATTTAAAAATTCCAATAAATGCCACAATAGAATTGTTAACAACTTTTCCTCTGTAAAGTGTGAAATTCTTTTCAGAGCATTTCAAAGGCGCCTTCACCCATTTACACATACATTAACACAATTGCTAAAATAGACTTTGCCTTGGCACTTTCATTTTCTTGAGGGATGAACAGAATAAGCATTATAAATTTCTGGTTTGGGTTCTAGTTTTCCTTTTAATTTAATTTTTGTTGCCACCAATCCTCAACAAAAGAATTTGTTACCCAACAAGGCAGATAAAAGCTAACATGTCCACAATGAAATACTTCCTGGCAAGTGTGCTTACTCACGTTAGCGTGGGCTTCTGGAGACATTCGTGATGAAATACTGGGCAGCAGGAAGACATTTTGTAGATAATCTGTCACTGAGTCTTTAATTAAAGTTTTAAATTACCACAGTTGATACAGATTTCACAGTAAAGAGTCTGATCCTGCCCACCACGCACAAGTAAAAGATCCCTTTGACTTTCAACAGATTTTACCTTGGTAAAATAGCATGTATTCAGGCAAAGCTCCTATGAGTATTTATTGTAATATGCTATAAATATTAATAATTTCATACAAATGTCTGGATCATGAGGGCACGAGCACAAAAGCAAGTAAATAATAATTTATTTCCATGCATATAAAGCCACATTTTACCTAAGCTTCTCTCTTAATTTACTGAGAATACAAACTTGCTGCTTATTATTTCTTTGTTCGAGTTAATTTGAAATAAGCATTCTGCACCCCAGCCTGTTCCTCCTGTAACACAGCGTGTTTTGCCCAGCAACCCCCCGAGGGTTTTCCCAGCCCATCAAAGCCGAGGGCAGCCTTTCCTTTAGCAAACCGATACGCGTTACACGTGTCCCTAAGTGAATTTTGCACGCCACTGTGTAGAACAACGCCCGGGGGCTGACCTTCAAGGCTGCCTTTTTCTAGCAAGCGGTACGTAGAAATGTATTTTTCTAAGCGGGAGATTTTTGGAAGTTCCCGGGGTCCAAAGGGATGTCCTTTTAGAAAAGGTCCCCCACGTTGTCCTGCTGTGGACAGCGGCAGGGTTTGGTGCTGGGACGTGGGCAGGCAGCCCCCGGGCCAGGCTGTTCCCGTCCTGCCCAGCCACGCGCTGCGTGAAAGTGGTTTCAGGAACTTCATTTACATTCATAAATTAAGCAGGGTTAATACTGATTACCAGGTAGACCTCCCAGGAGAATCTAGACGCCACAGAAAGAAGTGTTGGTTCTGAATCAGGGAGACAACCAAATCAATGCCCAGGTATTGTCTTTGGGGGTCAATGTGATGTGTTTATTTTGCAAAACACTTTGGGATTCTGGGGGACAAAAGGCTCCATATAAATGTAAATTATGTATTGTATTTCAGGTGAAGATAATGGATTAACAGTGCAAGTTGTTAACCAATCTTGACAAAAAGAACTTTCCCACGTGGTCTCTATTGTTCCAAACTATTTTGAAAAGTGCCAAGATTTTAATATCAAATAATCCAGTGCCTGGATATTAAGTTACCTGTGCTTTATTGCATAAATATAGCTTCTTATTTATCTGCAAGATGTGGATCACTGAATCTCCAAGTCATTGTTTCGGAAAGCATCTGCTTCTATCATTATCAGTGACAAAAAAAAAAAATATCAATGAAGTGTGGAAAATATTACTAAAAGTTTGAGAAAATAAAAGGAAGGTTTTGGGGAGAGGATGTTTTGTCTGCCATTTGATTATATACAACTGTTGCAGGATAAAGGTGACAGAGACAATGTGGCAAGAGGATGAGAGAAGACTTCATATTCATTTACTTTATGGAAAACAGTGGTTTGGAGCCATGGGGAAATTCCTTTAAAAAAAAAAAAAAAATACACAAAAAACCCCAACTAAATAAAATTCCTCTTCTAATTTATTTCAGGAATTCCTGAAATGGCCAGATTTTAAGATTGCAGTTAAAACCCCTTCAGTCAAAGTCTATGCAATATGCTGATTGGTTATGCAGATGCAAGTTGAATGTGACCAGCCAAGCAGAAGATGGATCCCCCCACGCCGGACTTGGCAGGACCCCACGATCCTCTCCATAGGTCCCAGAGACCGAAGCCCGTAGCGTAGCGTAGCTGCCTCCCCCTTCGTTCCTGGCGGATGAAGTATTACTCACGGCAGCCAGCCAGCTCTCTGGGTACTCAGTTGACCCCACCACCCCCCCCCCATCACCACCACCCCATGCAGATGCCAGGCTGAGGGGTCACGGGAAGGACCTGCTCCTCTTCGGGCAGCGGTTGCCCAGCGTGGGGGGGGGCCGGTGGTTGTTTCACGGCTGACGCCTTAGCGCTGCTGTGCTGGTGCAGAGGTGCCACCCCCCAATCAGGAGTCGTCTCCCATTTTGCAGAGCCTGTAGAAGCCACCGGAACGTCGCGACGACAGAGCCCTCTGCACCAAGGCTTCGTGGCCAGCTGGGCAAACCAAGGGCTTTGGAAGGTTGAATGCAAAAGAAAATTCCTGAGACTACAAAGGATGTATTTCTGATTGTTTGTTGGCTAACGTTCTTCGTGTTTTCCAGCAAGAGTGTTAACTGTGGTGCCCTATTAGCTCAATTAAAGGAGCGATTTGATTACCAACAGAAGAAAAAAAGGATTGATTTGAACGCTGGTAGAAGATCAAGACTGAAAACAAAGCGGGATATTTGGGCCAGGCAGTTGCCGACCTGACAAAATACTTCCATACTTGCTTTACTATTCCTTGGAAAAAGAGGTCATTTCACTGAAACTGATTTTCAGTGGAGCTCATTCACCTCCGTCACTTCAGGCCAAGTGGTTAAAGGGCACGTAGATGCTGAAGTTGCTGATGAGCGTTAGGTCCATAAGCATCTGTCAAGAGCTGGCCCCCCCATTGCTTTTGGAGATCTCACGCAGCTGGATTATCCAGATGCTTAAATGCCCTGCTGACTCAAGAGTATAACCTGCTCTGTGTGGAGACGACTGTTGGAAGAGTCACGGTGAAAAGCTCTGGAAAAGTATATAGAGGTTACACCTTCCAAAATTAGCCGCCCTGGTGCTGGATAACATCAAAGGGAACTGAGCTGAATCTGCCACCTCCTGAAGTTTAGAAGAAGGAGAGGCTAAAAGAGGCAAGGGAGAGGGAAAGCCTTTAGAGAACAAAAAAAGACATGAACTGACCGGCGCTTAATGTGATTAACGCTATCAGACAGCTCAGTGCTCACACAGAGCGGTAGCTGCTGGCCTGTGTAGCGTCAGTGACAGGGACGCTGCCGGGAAAAGCTGAATTCAAAGAGTGCGGCGGGAGGGAGCCAGTGGGACAGCAGCCCCTTTCGACCCGACGTGTTCATCTGCACGCTTACAGGTCAGCTAATGCTTCCCAAAGCTTTGTGGTCTCTTCCTCTGTCCACGAAGCAAGGAAGGGATAATTCACATATGAAACAAGGCAGGAGACGACTCTGCCAGACAGCCGAAGGCCAGACAGGAGCTGAAAGCCGCTATCCTGAATTTGTACCTCAGGTCCTAACCACGTTTCCAGGCTTCCACCCCAACAGAGCTCAAAATTAACGTCTACCAGCAGTTGAGAGAGAAGGGTCAGGGAGGATTATGAGAAGTCATTTGTTGGATGGGACTTGCTCCAAAGCTCTTACTAAGCGGACACAGCTCAGAGAGATGTGGGAAATACGTTACATGGTCTACATTGCTCTTTAAACTCAGAAATATTTATGAAGAAGCATCTGCCCACGGGTGATCGTTTCTGCTTGGGAAAGTTGCTGAAATTTGTGTGCACAAGCCTATGGCAGTGGTAGTTCAAGATCCACTGGCATCATGATAGTGTATTGTAGAGGAGAGGGTGGGTTTGGGCTTTTTTGGGGGAAAAGGTTCCTAGATGCAGATTGGGAAACCAGTTTCCTTTTGCAGAGCACAAGCAGCCCGAGCAGTACTGAAAATAAAGCGGGCGTGGTGTGGCTGTTCCCCACCTGGCCAGATTCTTGGTGTAACTTAAAAGACCAGAAGTGACATTATTATCCAGCTGCATTGCTGTGGACCATTTTTCTGCAAGAGTTGCCGAAAGCCAAATCCTGAGTCCGTGTCACTTGGTGTCACGTTGGCAGTGTTGTTTTACTCTGAGTTACTCCAGCTGAGGATCTGACCTGCAAGAGCTAATAGTGTCTGGGTGACTCAGGCAAATTGCAGGAGGCTGCCGTGTTTTGCATGGTCAGGCTTTCTAAAAGGATTAGAGATGGGTTTGCTTTTGCTGCTCCAGAAGGTTGGGATTATTAAGCGTATCTGTATGAGAAGAGTGGCAGACACTGTCTTCATGTATTTCTAATTTAATGAATGTTTAATGCTTCTTTTATTGGAGCCTACATATATGTAGAGTAGAGGACTTTAACAAGGGGTTGACTAATGTCAAATAATTTATGTCTGAGCTGCTCCTTTTACATGAAATGCAGACTTTACAGAGCAAAGAGACTGAAATGAAAATATGAATTAAAGATTAGAGCTAAGAAAGTCTGAGAAAACTTAGAATTAGAAAAGGCACTTAGAAGTTTTCTCTTCCTGCTTCCTTTCCTTCCCTCCACCTTTTCTACATCTCCATCCTCTCTGCTTCTTTGGTAGGGTCTTGCATTTCAGCCACAGTCTTCTGTCTCTTATACACCTACGCACCTCTGCGAAGGAAATCATTGCAGCAATCTCATTCTGGGTATTACTGTATGTTTGCACAGCATCCTAGCCTGTTACGCTTGCCAGCTCACCAATCAGTTCAGCTGGAGAGACTAAAAAGTATTTTTAAGGTGCGTTTTTCTTCACCTCTATCCTTGATTTGCTGATGGAGTGCATCTCCCGGGCAGAATGAAAATAAGTGCAAGTTTAGTGGAACCGTTTGCTGGAAGGACCCACAATTTGTTACAGCACGCCCGGGTGAGGGTGGAAGAACATTATTTATTTGTGGTGGCGATGCTGCTGTGTGACAGTGGTTGGCCTGTGCCACTTGGAGAGGGTTCCTGTAGGACAGGCTCGAGGCTGGTACAGTTTCAAGACTGCCGTCAGGTATTGCCTGTCCCCGTTGTCCAGAGATGCTCTTCTGCCCATAAACATCAGCATCCATTTCCTTCCACGCCCTTGGCCCACCCCTCTCCCTCTCAGTTAGCTGTCTCCGTGCTCTGGCTTTCCGTGGGTGCTTTCAGCTCTCAGTGCAGGCCTGAGAGCTCAGCACCAGGGCTTCGCTTCTGCAGCAGGAGGCTTTTCTTGCCTCAGTTCCTGCAGCACAGGCTAAGAGCTTGACTGGTTGGGGGTAGTTTCTTGCTTTCTGTGTTTGTGTTTAGAAAACCCTCCTGCAATGTTGATCTGAATTCATACCTAGGACTGAAGAGCTTAGGCTTGATCATCAGCAAATAAAAGCCCCGTGGGAAAGAGGAGGGGATGTTGCTTTCTTTGCTTTGGCTGGTTGGGTTGGCGTGGTTCAGTTCCTTGCAGCTCTGGCCGTATTGGTACAGCTAAATAAAGGAGGGCTGGGCAGAGCACTCGCCCACGGGACCCTGATTGTCAGCACTTTGTAATGGGTGGCACCCCTAAGTCACAGCACTGTTTTAGCAGGCTTTGGATGCTCCACCACCCAGCCGTGTCTTCACCCCAACCCCGAGGCACGTATGCCCCCTTGATGTGAAGGGACCGTCACCCCACTGGGCTGCCAGGCCACCCTCCTGCTAGCTCAAGCAGTCCAAAGAAATGCACACAAAATAATTACATCTTAGGGTGCAGAGGGCACCTCCTGGGCTCCGGAGGTCCAAGGAGACGTGTCGGGTGGTGCGGATGTGGCCAGTCTTTGCCACATGGCATTAGAGCCGGGGGGAGGGGGGGGGGGGGTTGTCTCATGCCCTGTTTTGTTTAGCAATATGGGTGTGCTCTCTGAGTCCCTCCACAAGAAAAGCTGCCACTGCACTCTTACCCCTTATCATTTTTGTCTCCAGAAGCACTAAGACCCCGGGAGACTTCATGTGCAGAGACTTGAGGTGCAGAGCTCACACCTGAAATAGGGACTGGGGAGGAAAGGAGGCAGGGAGGGGCAGCAATGCACCCCAGGTGATACAGAGAGTCATTAGCAAAGACGGTGACAGCCCCATAGTCCTCGTAACTTCTCTGTATCTTGAGCACATACTGCTTTTCTGCTGGACTGAAGGAGCCCATCCTTTGGGGTGTAGGCATGTACTCGGTGGGTCTCGCTGCAAAACATGGTCACTCATAGCAACCCCGTGTAGGCATGCCTGTATTCCTTACCATTTCTTTTTGTACACAGGTTCTTGAAACTTAAAACTGTAAAAATCAGAAATTGCTCATGGTAGAAATTTTTAAAAATCAAGCTAAAACCCCTTCAAAACAGTATGGAAAACACCACAGACTGGCAGTTCTATCTAAGAGTGAAATCTGTGCTGTTTGCAATGAACTCCGGATGTGTCTGATCTAATTGTATGTATGATTTAACCTTATTGTTGCACAAAATATATCAACTGCAAGTTAGATTTCATCTCCTAGGAAGGTGGAAAGGCAGCCAAAGCTCCCCTTAGGTACCCCCAAGCTCCTGCATCCTCATCACATATATTCTACACCATGTGAACAATATTTCTTGTGCATGGAGGCTCCCCAGGTTTATTCTTTTCAGGTAAACTCTAGGACGTACATATTCCACTTGTACCCATTTCTGAAATCATAATTGCCACAAGGAATTCAGTAAGTAGTTTAAAGAAAAAAACCCTACGTGTGAGCCAGTCCTACAGCTGCTGTAAACTGGTATAACTCATTTTACATCAACTAAGCCACATTTTTGTCCCCATTAAAAATGTGTTGTGCCTGGTAGCACTAGTAGGGAAGCTCATGTTTGGTAGAATAAATGGAGCAGGAGCTGATGTGCCAAAAAGAAAAGTACTGATGTCCTGCACAAGGATCTGTTGAGAGAAATGGCTCTGTATGAAGATGAGCACACAAAGTTCTCCCCAACCTTTAAAAGCTCGGACATTTTTTCACTGCAGCCAGTTGAGCGTATTTGAAGAAGATGGGAATATGCCGGTCAGAAAATGCTGACTCACTGAAACATCCCTGGGAGAAAGGCCAATTACAGCAAACTCGCTGTTTGTACATTACAAAAGGTCGGGAAGAAACCTTGAAATGATCAGATGCCCCCATTTTAATGCTTTCAAAACGAACGGACTCAAATCTAGCAGGGTGGAGGGAGTGACGTCATTTTGGATGTAGATCTTTATTTTATAATTTGGAACATTTCAAATAGGGAAGACCGAAATGAAGGGGGCTTTTGCCAATTTAATTATTTCAGAGAGCCTGCTCTGATTTTTATTAAAACCAAAAAGTGCTTGTGACTTTGACTTTTCCTCCCCATTTGAGTGGGAGAGGAACAGCAGAAATAGCTCTGACGGTGATGGGAAACATCCTTCGGCCTGGGTAAGGAGTTAGGTCCAGGATGGGTTTAAAATACTCTCCTGGGGTTAGATGTCTTTGGGGCCACCACCTTCCACACCTGGCTGGAGAGGGCTGACAGCACCCACCGCCTCTCAGGAAACCCTCTGCATCTTACAGGATCAGGCCTGCAGGCTTTGCTATTTGCAAAATAACACCTCGAATTGCACTTTCTCACCTGATTGAAATGCATGGGAAATGTCAGGAGGCGCAGGTGGAGGAGCCCTCGTTCGATATTGCTTCGGTACTCCTGAGCGTCTCATTAGCTCGGGTCAGCGCGTGTGCCCGATTCCTGGTTTGTGAACCGAAATACCAGCGTCCTTCCGTGCCGCCCCCTCTCAGCTCTCGCCGCGTACAGAAAGGACTGCAAAAACCGGGGAGTAAATAATCCCCGCCGTCAGCTCCTCAGGCTGCGTCCAAGCAGAGGCTGGGGGGATGCGCTGCAGCCGACTCGCAGCGTTTCAGCGCCGAGCCAAGCTCCCGTGGCGAGCCCAAGGCTCCGATTCCGTGCGGGCCGAGCCAACCATGGGTGTTCCTTCCCGAAGAGCCTCCTTCTCTGATCTCTGCCTCGTCGCAGCCCCCCCCCCGCTGACGTCCGAGGGACTCCGTCTGCATGAGGATTATTCATCTGAACCGGGTCCGCAGCAGCACCCGGTGCGTCATCCCTTATCTCCCCGCAAGCAGGGGCTGGCAGCCGCGCGGGCACCGGCCCCTTCCCGCCGGCTGCCGCGGGGCCACGGAGCGGGGCCGCGGCCGCCAGCCAGCGGGGAATAAATCTCACTTGAGTTTGCTCGACGCGCCGCAGCCGATGCGCGGCTGAGCCTCTGCTACCCTCCCCGTGCTACGAGGAGAGCGGCGAGAGAGAATTTTTGGTTACTTTGCGAGCTGTGTCAAACAAAAAACCAACTCTATTGCAGGAAATGTCAAACGGTAATTATCAAGGACTTGGAAGACGGTGATTAAAAATGGAAACCTGTCCAAAATAGTAACAGTTTTGCACAGAAACCAGGGTTTTTCTTGGCTACATTCATGCCCCTCCCCTAGAGAGCAAATAGAGTGTCATCCAGTTTCTGAGACTGGTGTTAATTGGCCTGGCTGCCTTGCTCCAAGGGAAACACCCCTGCTTTTTCAGCAGCTGTCCCCCTCTCTCATTTCTCCTAACAGCTGGACAATGTTGTTACAAGCAAAAAATAGCCGGGGCCAGTTCCTGCGCCGGTATAAGCCTCCAGATCCGGGGGTGCTGCTGCCGTTGCCCCTGCAAGGCGGCGCTGCCCCTTGGGACGAACGGCAAGTCGGAACAGCAAAGCTGCAGCCAGCTGTCCTCCCCGGGTGCATTGATCTGCGGAGGCAGCTTGCTTGTCTGAGCTAGGAAGGCCTGCACATGCCTCCTACATTGCTGCTCAGCCTCCTTTGATCTGCTGCCATTTTTTTCCCCAAAAAGATCTTGCCAAAATCTAGGTAAGGGACTGAGAAACACAGAGGGGCTGTGCTTGGTTCAGCTCTCCTGGGCTCGGTGTGATCCTCCCAGATCCCTTTCTTGAACAGTTTTACCCGTAGTTGAGGGACTTTCCTCCCTAAATGGTTGCTTGGGTTTCCCAAGTGGATCAACCTGTGAAATAAAGGTGATTACTTTTCCTTACAGATTTAGCCTAATTTACATCTATGGATCTAAATGCTTGAGGAGTGGGAATGGCCTTGGAGGAAGGAAGGAATTAGAAGCCCCCAGCGACAAAACCAAGGCGTTCCCTACTCGTCTGTTACATGCAGTAGTGTTTTTTGCAGTTTGGCTAACTGGGAGCAGCAGCAGTGACCACGCTTGGCAGGCTCACATGGGATGCTGACAGGCACCGTCGGACTGGCCGTGCGAGCTTGCACCCAGCAGACAGGCTGGGCTCTTCCAGCCCTGCGGGTGCGCCGGGGTTCCACAGTGGCGCGTGAACGCGTTTGCCTTCTTGGAATAGGATTTGCCAGATGTGAAGGTGATGCTCAAGGTGCACGGTGCATTTTGTCCTCCCGACTGAGGATCGGGGCTTTCTAGGCACGGCCTGCTCTGGTACATGAAACGTTGATGCAGAGAAGCCTGCAGTAAACCAGGTATTGCGTGTGCTGGCTGAATATATAGGCTCCTAGGTGGGGCCAACCCAGTGGTCCTCCGTCGCTGTAGGCATTAATAGGCAGGTCACTGCCATGGGGGTGAGCAAAGGGGCTGCATATCATCGGCTTTCTGTTTTCTGCTCATCTGTTGGGGGGTGGGAGGGGGGAAATAATGAAATGAAACCCTCCCCCCATAAGCTTATTATGTCCAAAACTTTCCCAACTGGCAATGAGTCTGGCGGTGCTTGCAGACATGGCAGCTTTTAATGTCCTTTTAATAAGGCGTTATTGCTGTCTTTGTGGGGTCTGCTACACCCTTGTTTTTCAGCATTACCCCCCACTGCCGTCACACTGGGAGGGGATAACCTCGTGGTGAGGGGCTAGCGGTGAGTCTCCGACCCCTTGCCTTTTGGGAGGGAGCCGTTCTGGCGGCGTCGGGTAGGTCATCCTAACAAATGACGTAGGCACCGTGTCCGTGAGCGGCGTCGATAACATGTCCGATACGCTGTAATGCCTGGTTGTGCATTTCACCCCGCAGTGTCTGAGTTTCTACATTTCTCAGCTGAAATCAGCTGCCGTGTCGAGGATTTTGGCTGTGCACCCCAGGAGGGGGATCTCCTGGGCAGAGCCACATCCAACACTTGGACATTAGCAGCCACAAAGCCACAGTTGCTGCTTCGGCTTCTTAATGCAGACAGGCAGCCCGCGTGTCAGGGGTGACGTTTTCCTTCTTTTTGTGTCTCCAGAGCAATCAGCGCCAGTGTGAAGCTCATTTGTTTGTCCCCCACGTGTCATCATGCCCCTAAGGTTTCACAGGACCTGTCCTGATTTTTCTCCCAAAATTTCCCAACTGAGAAATTGCTTCAATAAAGACAACAGAGTTTATTCACTGGGTGTGACAGTCACTTCATGGCCCAGGGAAGAAGGATGCAAAGTAAGAGTCGAGGGGATAAATAGATGCTGTTTGCTCTCTAAAGCATCCCCGGGAGGTTTACCCAGCCCTGCCCTGTGCTCTCTAGAATTATTTAGTCTTGCTGGCTGATGGCTGGCTTGCGGTATGGTGCTTAACGGCCCCGTTCTGCAGCATATGGGCTCGGCACATCGATAACCGGCCGCTCGTTAGGGAGTTGGGTCGGGCTGCCCGGCGGCAAAAGTCAGCTCCCAGGCAGCCGAGCGGGACTGGCCGCTAGCAATGAAAAGCTTCTTGCCTCGTTTAGTCACTCAGCACTGTAATCGGTGGCTTTTAATTAAGGCAGAAGGCAATCGGTTGCGGAGGGCGCGGGAGGGGGGCACGGATGCTGGGAGGTTGGAATAAATAAGAAGCCAGGGAGAGGAGGAAGGGAAGGCGTGTACACAGCGAGGGTGCCTGGCGCGACAGCGCGAGTTGGCTTTATTTAGACATCAGTGCCCCTCCCTCCCGCTTTTTTTTTTTCAGCGAGTACAAAAGGAGCCAAAAATAAACCTCCTTGGGCCCTACTGCAGGATCTCAGCCACGGTAGGGAGGGGATCTGTCTTGAAAGCACTGGGGCAATGCTGTCTTCAAAACAAACATTTCCCTGGCTTGCTTCTGGAATTAAAACCCTTTCGGAGACAGTGATGCTGGTTATTGTAGCCCCCTGGGTGATGGCTTTCAGTGCGATTGCTGCAGAGGAATGAAGAGGAGAAAAAGAAGAAAAAAAAAAAATGCAAGGGGGAGGAATGCAAAGCCAAACTAATAGAGTAACTTCTGGTGTTGGCAAGTTTTCATCTTCCAAGGTCAGCCCTGATTTCATTTGGAGAGTGCTTTGCTCTTTTTAGCAGTTTTGGCTATTGCAGCCATACGTACAAAGGACCATCTGGAAATCTGTTCCCAACTTTAGCAAGCGTTAGCATCGCGTCGCCCCGAGTCCATGTGTGCTCGCTGGCTGCAGTGGCTCCCTGTTGAGTGTGCTTGGGCTCCCGCTCGTGTCGCCGGCGAGGCAGGGACTGCATTACAAACCCCTGCGTGGAAGGCAGCCAGGCAAGGTGCGCACAGAGCCCTCGAGTTGCCCCAGGAATTTCTATCCTCCTTTAGTTGTGAGGTTTGGGGCTGGTCTGCAGTTTGAGGTGCTTTTTTTTTTTTTTTTTTTTTTTTCCCCCCCCATCTTTTTTGGCTGCATGTAGTTGTTGAGCTCAGCTTTTGGTGTATGCATTCAAGAGTACAAGAGCGTGTTTCATTTTCCAGATTAGAAAATGCTCAGAGGTATAATCAGGTCCTTCCACAGTATTTAATTAACCATAATTAAAGGCATCTACACAAAGTACCAGATTTTCAAAGACTATTCTTGTGTTACATTGCTAATGAATTAAGTAATTAATTGGCATTGAAAAAATACAATAGGAAACATCAATCTTTTAAAGTAAAGCATTTTTTAGGCGATTTATAAAATCATTAACTTCTATCAGGTCAGTAGCTGTTCTGTCTAAATGCGTCTTCTGGCTTTAAAAAAATTTCTAAAGGACAAAATGAACGCAGGACAAATAAGGCAGGGAATACTTGCTAGAGTGTGGAAACACTCAGGAATGGGGAAATGCATTTGGAAGTCGTCATCCATCACTTTGCCACTCTCTCCTGCAGTTCCTTCCCCCCGCAGCTGTCGGAGAAATCGGGGCAGGTCCCAGCAGAAGGGGATTTCAGCCCAGCAGTCCCATGTCTTGTCTCTCTAACACCGAGCTTTTCAGCTGCCTGGGGTGGGGTCAGAGAGATGTTTTCTTGAGTTTCCTTCTCTGTGTCCCAGGCAGGTAATTAAATTCCCCAAACAAATGAAGGCATTATGCTTCTGCCATTGTGGTTATTCCCTTTCTCTGGGTAATCAATCATTTGTACAGATATGCATAGAAGTGGGAGCTCTGCCTCTGCAGCCCGACCTGAATTCATACGGCTGAAAAAAAGGCAAATCCAAAGGCCGGTGCCACTTGGCTCTGTTAAACGTCCTCCAGAAGAGGCGATCCTTCAACTGGGAGGGGAACCTTTGGTGACTGACTCAGACATTTAGCTTTTATACACGTGTATGTTCATTAAATTCACCTTTCACTTGGGACTTGCCTGCCCGTGGCCAGTCATTTCTGCGTCGGTCGTTGTGGAGGCCAGGAGGCTGGGGAGTGGTGGTGAAGACCATGGAGGCCAGCTGGATGGGAATGGTGGTGAAGATGGCAGGAGATGGGCTTGCTGTGTGGAAATTGGGTTGTGCTCAAAATCGGCAGCAGAAAACCCAACAACTTAAACATGAGGTGAGAGTAGAAAAAAATGGTTTCAGCAGCAGCTCTCTTCTTACATGAAAAGTTTTTGCTTTGCTTTGAAGCTCCGTTTCTAACATGATCCCATGTTCAAAACATTAGTCAGAAAAATCCATTGCCGGGTGGGGAAAAAAAAAAAAAATTGGGACCATGCTGATGCCCTCAAAGCATCTCACGATGGCAGAAAGGCAGAAAGGCATTTTCCTACCAATTGAGACGTTCACACAGTCATCTAGATTGCGATGCAGCTCTATTTTTCAGAAAGGAGCTGAAGGTTCATCCTGAGGGTGTGGTGTCCTGCAGCTAAAGAAGCCCTTCTTCCCGTTGGCAAGGGGTTTGTGCAGAGGTTTACTCATACCAACAGGCAACCATTGCCGCCACCGGTGTGCACGGCGGTGCGACCGTCACCGTGCACCATAGTTCCGTTAGCCAACCAACGATGGGTTGGGCTGGATTTTCAGTAGACTTCACATTTAAGTGCACAACTCCTCAGATCGTGTATAGTAATCCTGGTTCTTCCCCCCAGCTCCCACCGGTTTTGCATTTTTTTTTTTCCCCCTCCTGTTTTATACAAAATTAGCACTGTCACAGTTTCCACTTCATTTATGACTGATATGAAAAAAACCCCACGCCATAAAACATCATGCACAGCTGTAGTGACCAAGTTAGATTAAATTCTGGCTTTATACTGAGTTGACGTGCAGCCAGCTCTCTTCCATACATCATCTGTGATTGCAGTTAAGAATGAAATACTGTTTTAATTCTTACACAAAATACGGGGTTTTTTTCTGAGGGAAAAAGATATAAAAATGTTAAAATGGGCCATAAAAATCGTTAAATTTTCACACCGAGCACAACCAAGAGGTGAGTAAGTTGGCTAAAAGCTCAAAAGACCCAGAGAAAAAGTCCCGGTTGTTATTCTTTCGTTGTTAACCTTCGCCTTTGAATGGAGATACCCAGGCAGAGAGCAAAGACCTGGCGCTTTGGCAGTCGAGGGCTCTTTTGCCACTTGCTTCCCGAGATAAGGGTGCCCCTCCGTGTCCGCGTGGCCAAAGAGCTGTTGCTGCTGGCTGGAGCTGCTGCTCCGTGCTGGTGCCCGAGGACGGTGCCTTGGGAGGTGCCCCAGCACCACTGCAGTGGGCAGGATGAACAGGCAGCCAAGTCCCCGGCCGGGTTTGCTGCTCTGCGTCCCAATTCCCATCTTGGGTGACCTGGGAAGCAGCGGCTATAAGGGCACGATCACCTGGACCGAGCCTGTCCCACCGCATGCACTGTCCTGTGGCTGCTCTTGGGACCAGAGCTGGCGAGGTGAAGGCAGCAGAAACTCAGTGGAACACTCTATATAGATAGACAGATAGAGATATATACCCCCTGGATCTATATTTCTTCACCTAAAGGTTTCATCTCTGGAAGGTCCAACTTTTCCTCCGTTTGGCTGTTGATTTTACTAGTAACATTGTTAGCTGATGCGGTATTTATTGGCAGTTTTGTGAACCGATTATTTTTAAATTAACTTATTTAATACCAGCTCAAAAAAAAAAAAAAACCAACCCACCTCACTTTATTTGCCATGTTTGAACCGCTAAAGGAACTAATGTACCTTCAGTGCTGTTGGAGTTCATTTTAGGAAATACCTATTTAGACAACTTTTTAAAAAACCTATTACTTACCTGAAAGGTTATAATGACCTAGGAGTAGCTTCCATGGCCTGCAATTAAAATCTACCTATATTTAAAAAACAAAACAAAACAAAACAAAAATTTTAAGGTATTCTCCCAAAGCTTTATGCTGTCTGCGAAGAGATTTTTTAAGAGCAAATCCTTTTTGTTCAGTCAGGTAAATGTTGAAACATGCATTTCTCACTTAATGGATGGTTACTGCTGTCTCTGAGGTGTTACTGTTTTCCTTCTTCAACCTTGAATGTACACAGTAAAAATCTGGTTTAGAAAAGCTCTTTTATATGCACAGTATCTGCCTGTGCAATGCCGAGGACCTCGCCTGTGAGGGCTTTTTACCATAAGCTAAACTTTTCAGTGCTGATTAAGGCATTTGCACACGTAGATCCTTTTAAAATGGAGGAGTGTGTAAATCCCATAGGTGACTTTGAAAATGCCAGCCTGCATTTTGTATTAAAAGAGGTGAGGAAACCCCTGTATTTGAGGCTATCTCTGTAGTCCTGCAATTTTCTCTCCTGCTGATCCTGAGACACACCGCGCGTCGGCTCCGCCGTGACTTCGGTGCCGGTGGTTCAACTTCAATGCTGCCCTCGGTTCGGGTGTGTTATTCAGTCAGCAGAGTTTACGATTACGAATTTGGTAGTAGCTATTAATTTGCACTGCGACTAACCCTGCTGGTCAGCAGTCCGTAACCCACTGTTGGATTAGAAACCCAATAAAATGGGGAGACTGGGGGGTGGAGGTTTTGTGGGCAGTTCGAAGTGCGCTCAGATGTGCTCCCAGCTTTGATTTTGGTGCACTTGGGATCAGAAACAGGCTGGATGCACAGGCTTGGGGCAAATACCCTTAATCGGAAGCAGCAGGAAATGTACCACTTGCCCTCTTTTCTTTAGCGTGCGCAGATCAGTTTTATTAGATTATTTACAGTAGTCTTGGATTGTTAAAAACTGATTAAAAAGATTTGTTCTCACGGTTGAGACTCCCGGTAGTTTATTATCGTATCTCAATCCGCAATATTCCTGCTGGAGGAAAAATTCTGCTCCTTCTGGGCTGCAGCCCTGGGAACTGCCCAGTTTGGCATCCCCCTCGTACCCGCCGGCGTCGGTGTCGGCTGTCAGTCATTGTCACCGCTCGTGGCTGACCTGTTTTCTGCAGATGCCTGTACTGGAACAGGCGTTTTTCTCCACCACCTCCGTGCTGCCTTCCCCGCAGCGAGCCGTGCCCCGTGTCCGCTCTGGGGCCTCGACGCGGGCAGCGCCGTGTCTCAGAAGGCAGATGACGGTGCTGCCCGGGGATGGGCAGGTTGGAGGTGACCATCAACCTTGGGCTGGGTCCCCCATCGTCACGCTCATCCCACACGCACGGCTGATGAAGAGAGAAGCGGGGCTGCAATTTTCGGCGGGTGCTTTTTAACTGTCGAAGAGCCGCTGTCTTTATTTGACTTGCTGAGTGATAATCTCAAGTCTGTCCACTCAGCTCAGATCTGTATCAGCGCTGGTAGATGTCACCACTCCTAAACAGACTGCTTTTAAATTGCATCCATAGATCTTCCTTGCACCAAAACATTCCTGCTCCAGTATTTAGTGATGCCTGAAGTTATGTCTCCACATCAAATTAAGTAACTGTGCTATCAATAAGGAGGAGTAATGCGGTGTATTCCCTTCTGGATGTTTCCCTGTCCCTCATTTGTTTGCTGCTCCTGATTAAGACAGATAACGAGCTATCAGTAATTTTCTAACCGCGGTGCAAAGCGGTGAGAATTAAATCAGTCTGTGTCACTGGGAGCCAGGTCATAATTTAGGGAACTCAAGTGGGTCCCCTGCATTCATTAGACTCTAAGGCAGCAGATGCTTGGGGTTGTCTGAGCAAAGCCTGGATGATGTGAACATTTCTGCATGGGGAGAGCCAGAAGGTGACGTGGGACCACCAGGAGATCTCTGTCCCGCTGGGCTGGCTGAGAGCTGCGGGTGTGTTTGATCTTATTTATTGTGCTGGCTTCATTGCTGGCAAAAGTCAGTGGAAAGGCTCCCACTGCCCTGGATTTAGCTTTTCAGCTCGGTCTCGCCGTTTTAACGCACTCCTTTTAATGATGTAGGGCTTGCTTAGCGTGAGCAACTTGGATTTAGATCGGAAGATACTGCAGAGATATATATATATATATGTATTTTAATGCAGAGATTAAATAACTTTTAGGCATCTTCAGTCACCCAGCAATGTGAATTATGGATGGAAAAATCTCTCATGTAAATAGGCAGTGCTGGAGAAGGGCTGTTAGCATCGTCTTGTGAGGAGTGAAATATGCAGAGACGGTGGAAAAGAACTGCAGATCAGCTTCAGAGGAGATTAATTCTTTGGGGCAACGGTGTGCAAGATTGAAAGCTTGTGGATGGTTAGGTGATACCACCAGTTGACTCCAGGGAGATTTTAGCCAAAGCCAGTGGGGTTTGCCCATAAGTAAAAGAAGAAAAGGTTCTCATTTTGCAACGTTTTAGACAACAGAGCGAAACTGGGGGCACTTACTGGAGGTGCCATCTCTCCACGTGCAGTTGGACAAGGCAGCAAAGGAAGAGTGAACCTGCCACCTTGGGGTCACCTCAAGGAGGTGACACTTGTTACCATGCTTAGGAGCCATCGTCATGCGATACTCTGCCTAAAAGTGAAAATATCCCAGGCAGAAGGTGGCCTTGTCACAGAAACGTCGCTTGGTCCATCGTTGCACGTATCCATATTTTGGTTCCTTTCAGCAGAGAGGGCAGGAGTGGCATACTCACCGTGCCAGGAGCTCTTTGCAGTGTCTGTGCTGGTGAATGAAGACCGGAGCAGGCTGAGATTTGCTGGGAAAGCTTGCACAAACCTCCTGTCCTTCCAGAAAAAGTGGCTGAAAGCAAATGAACAACAAAAAAACAGCTGTGGGAAATGTAGCTTTCAAACTTCCTTGGCTTTTTTTATATGTGTATCTATATGTGTGTATATATATATGTATACACACACACACACTTACATACAGCAGGCCCGTGCAAGGCTTTCTTTTGGGATTTTAAAATACTGACAGCAACGAAAAAAAGGGTCACAGAGCAGTTCCTGAGCTTTTCAATGGCAGAGGGGCCAGGGGCTGCTGGGGCCACCACTAGCCCTGTGCTCACTCACAACTCCTCCCCAGAAATCTCCATGCCTCCCTTGGCTTTCATCCCTCAACCGATGGAGGAGGATGGGACGAAACCCACAGCGATTTCATCCCGGCATCCGCTCGGGATGGAGATGGAGATGCCCCATTTCTGGCGGCTGCCGTGCCGGGCAGGGCTTCCTTATCCCCGTGGGATGCGATTGCCATCCAACAGGTCTGCGGCGGCCCGGCGCGGGGGGATTAGCAGACGACGGCTTGTTTGTGCTGGTGACCAACTGTCACCTACCCACGCCGAAAACACTGCCGGGCTCCAGCGCGCGGCGCTGCCAAGCTGAGATGCGCAGCCGACTGATTGGCATTTGGGGCGGCAGATGGCTCTGCAAAGCGTTTTGCTTATGGCGACGAGGACTGACACCTCCAGCATCCCCCGCCTACCTGCTGTAGGGATTTTTAATTTTGCAGCGCTGAGTTTGGTAGGCTTGACTCCCAGTCCCTCCCAAAGCCAGAGCAGCACCCAGATTTTATTGGGGTGGTGGCTGAGGTGGTGATGCAGCCTCCGCGTTTGGGTGCAAGCAGCTTATGAGAGCTTGTTTGGTGCCAGAGAGGGTGAGCGGGATGGAAAGGGGCTTTCAAAGCCTTGCCGGGGATCTGGATGGGGGCACTGACCTGAAACAGGCCCGTTTCCAGCCCTGCAGGAGCTTTTGAGCAGGTTGGGTGGGGGTGGACCTGGGCTGTAGGGGAGTCCAGGGTGAGTGTTTTCACCTGGTGTACGTATTGGGAGCGTGTGGGGTGATTAGATGTCCTCCGATTTGCAAAGAGCTGTGTCTTCCATCGCCTGGGGGACATGGACATCACCTCTGGGAGCAGGGAGGAGGCAGAGCTGCAGTTTACTCCACTCCCTCCTGCCACCACTAAGAAACAACTAGCCACAGCCCAGGGATCAGACCTGGGCGTTAGCAGGGTGTAAACACCCACCCAATGCCATGGTATTGGCAGCCCCGTTTCCAGTGCACCCTCAGGCTTCAGCCATGCTTTGGGCCAAAATCTTCAGCTTTGGCCTCTTTCTAGCACAAAAAAGCTCCAGGGCTGTTATCTTTTGGGGGGATTTTCATCCGCCCTCTCCTGCAGAGCATCGCCAAATTTAATTTTCAATAAGGCAGAGCTCAGCATCAGCAGCTGACTGCTTTATGTCTCACCTCTGGCTTCACCCGCTGCCTTCTCCTCCCCCCAGGGAGAGCGGGGCAGGCAGTCTTGATACCAGGCAGCAAAAACAAGACTTCTTCCCTCCTTGATTCGTTAATTAAAGCCACAAATTGAGCTCTTTTCTTGCAATCCGAAGCGATCGCATAAATAGCACTGACAGAGCTAAAGGACCATTTGAAAAGATCCTGCAGGATCAGCAGAGAACAGCTGTGTTAACCCCCAGAAACGGGGGCCGTGATTAAAAACAAGATGCTGGTTTTTCTTCCCCCCGAGCTCAGAGTTCAGCCTGGACATGGAAAAAGCGGTAAGGTGCAGACAGACGGCAATTTCTGCCCTTTGCACCAGAGCCTGGGGATCACTCATATTTCTGCTGTGTTCTGCCTCTTTCTCTGCTGGGGAGTCACCCACGAGCATCCTTGTGTGGGTTTCGGGGTGTAATCCTCACCTGGTCGTTGCTTTGCGAGTGGTTGTTTCAGCCAAGAGATGCTGGATGTGCCGGACACCGGCACTGGAGACCGCACGGCTTGTGGTTGGTCGTGGTGAGGACTATGAGATGCCTGTTCTGTGGAGACGTGCAAAGACAAATGCGCCTTCCCACTGAGAAGACACTTGGCCACGTTCACTAGAAATGGCTGCCCCAGTTTGACAAAGATTGCTAGCAGTAAACGCCCATGCCCTGGTGCATTCATGGTCAAGCTCCAAAAGCAAAGTCATCGAGACTCATTTGGCTGAATGAGCGTCCATGGGGATGTTTTCAGGCTGTATCCATTCCTAAATACTGTTGGGAAACACCACTGTTTTCTGCTTATACCTTGCAACTTTAATTGTGGGGCACATCACACGGGAGCCTGAGGGATGGCTGCCTAAATTGTGTTGCTATTTAGCAGATATCTGAATTACTGGTGCAAGGTAGATAAGCTTAGCCATCAGCAACTCTCTCCTTGATGTTATCCATTGACTGAATAAACCAAATTCTCTTGGAGTCGGCCTTGATATTTCCTAAAGGGATGGGGAGGCTCTTAAAGGAGTGGCAGGAGACACAGGATTATCATCAGAAAGTATTTAAGTAAGAGGAGACTACTGCTCCTCATGTTGTACCATGAGAAGTTCCAGTGAAGGTGATGAGCTTCGCTTGGTGCAAGATATTCATGGCAAATCTGAGTATCACAGTTGGCTTGAATTCATTCGTGCTTGCTTGTGGTGCTTAACATTTGATTTCCTTTTGTTGCTTCTTTGCACACACGAAGCTAAATTCCAAGCTGCTGTAAGCCACGGGCAAAGATGTTGAGTTCAGTAAAACCCACCCAAGAAACAGCTGGGCGTAGCCTGCAGCCTGCAGCCCCCCAGAGCTGGGCTGTTGTTCAGCACCGAGCGGCTCCAAAGCATCAGCGTGACATTGCATGCTCGTGGCGTTGGAGAGCATCAAACCCCACGCTCCTGCTATTTCCAGATTTAACTCGGTGTCCATACAGGGTGCTCTTGCATGGACCCACAGTGTTTTCCTCCGCGTACCCACAGTGCTGTGGTGGGGACTGTGCAGAAGATGCAGCTTGCTCGTGAAGCTGCTCCTCTTGCATTTGGGCTGTGAGGTTTTTTGTTTTTTTTTTCCCAGCGTGATAGGTAGATCGGGGGGCTTTTGAATTTCTTTAAAGCACCACTAAGTCCTGAGAGGACATTATCTCACACCCTTGGGTACCGTTGTGTGATATCGCAGGCATGCATTAATGCCCACACGTGGGATTAGATTCCCCCAGTACCAGGGGTGCAGATCAGCAGCACAACATGGGTTGTCACCCAGGTATCTGATCTTACGCGTACGGTTGCAAAATTTGCTGTCACTCTTCCCAAACAACAAAGCATATAGGATTTTTCTACATCTCTCCCATCAAAACAGCACCCTAATGTCCCTAATATATCTCTATAAAAATCTTCACAGTTGTTTTAGCAAACAGCCTGGGGTGCCGTGGTCCTTTATGAGTATTAACTACGTTAAGCAAAGCAAATCTCACAATTACATTGTCTGTGGGAGCAGGAAACTTCTCCCATCGGTCTCCCTGAGCAAGGAAATGAGGGTGATTACTGTCCTGTTTTCATCGCAGTCATAGTTTAAGATGCTTTTACAAACACCAGGTCGACATCCCTTGCCCAAAGCAGCTTCCTGTTCCTAGTGCTATTATCATTAACTGTCTTGATGTGCTTGACATGTCATCAAATGTTTCTGAGCAGCATCTTCCTTTGAATAATAATTAAAAAAAAAAAAAAAAAAAAAAAACCACGTTGCTGTGCTGTTCCGTCTCATTCCTTCTTTGTGATTTTTTACATCAGTTTGGCAGATGCTGGTCTCAGCCTGCTCCTCCGAGCAGCACAAAGCCACAATGGGAAAGCTCAAGACAGTCCCCAGCAGCATGGGGTTGGGGCACTGATCTAAGGGAGGGAAAAAAAATAGGAGAGAACTTCAAAGAGTCCAGTTATCTCTGCTGCAGAGGAAAAAAAGGACTTGATTTCTTGCTCTGAGAGCCAGTTGCGACTTTAAGGGCTGCAGCTCCTCTAAGGAGCATCTCAAAGCCACATAGCATCCCCAGGTGTTGGATGTTATCTGCAGCAATGCATTAGCCATTGTCTCTATAAAAAGCCAAGGTTGCTGGAAAACTCCCCCGTGGCTGTGCCGTTGCATAGAAAATGCCACTTGTCTGGGGTGTACTTTCCACTAAATTTCAGCAGTGCAGTGCCCAAGTGCATCTTTCTCGTGCCTCAGCTGCAGGTGCGATGCTCACTGCATCCCATTTTGGACAAACAGGATCCACTTTTCCAGTATGAAGGTGGGAGAAGTTTAGATGAGGAAAAAAAAGGGGTCTGGCTGTTAGCAATTGTGCTGGAAAATTGGATTTCTGGCGGTGGGAAATTAAGTTGAATTAACACAAATGGAGTGTGGAAATTTTGCCTTTTGTTAGAAATCCGTGTTTCTGTAGGGGTGGGGACAGAAGCAGGGGGAGAGAGGATGCAGAAACGCTCCATCCAGCTTGCTTTGGTGTACAAAAGAAAACATTTCACTCTGGCAGTGCAGAGGTGACTTTTGAGGGAGTGCTGGGAAAAAAAAAGGTCCAGAGCAGTGGTAGTGTCGGCCTAAATTAAAAGTACTAAGGTCTGACAGAAGAAATAGATGTCGCGAAACAGTAGCAAAACATCACATGGGAGGGCAGATGTCAGTAGAGCCCAAAGCCAGGTTTTCATCCACTTTTCTAAAAGCCAAGAAAAAGGAAAACAAACCCACTTACTGTAATTTTTCCCTCAGCTCAGCCTCTGAATACAGCTCCTTCCTCAGACGTGCTCAGGTGGTGTTTAGCTGTCCAGCCAGGGGTGCTTGGTGCTGCTTCGGTGAGGGCTGGTTTGGCCGGCCCCTGATGTTCCTCCCAGCCTTCAGTCCCTGCAATTTACCCAAAACAGTCATAATTTTTTCTCTTCCCTTCACCCAGCCTGTTTGTGGGGGGAATGGCAGCATCCCAAGGATTTTCCGTTAGTCACAGAGGCGCTTGCCAGGTCCTTCCTGGCTCAAGAGGTGCCAGAGATCAGAGGGGCAGATTATTAGTGTTTAATTACTATTTTGCAGAGCTGCCCTATGTCCTTGGCCGGGGTGGGGACGTTGCTGCTGTGTTGTTGTCCCGAAAATGAGTGATCCCCTCTCCGCCAGCGACCTCAGAGGCATGGGTGATGCTTTTAGTACACCCCCCACCCTGCTCTTTTCATCATGATGCCCGCTTTCTGCTTCTTGGCTCTGAGATAGGGACGTTTATGAAGGGTGAATATTTTTTTTTTTTTTTTTCTAAAATGACCCCCCCCCCACCCCAGGGAAGCTCAAATGGGAGAAAGGACCTGGGGCTGCCAGAGGAGGAGGAGGAAGGGCAGCTGTGGCCGTGATGGAGCAGCCATAGGGTGGCCAGATAAGCAGGAGGTGAGGAAAAATAAGCTTTTCCCCAGTTTGCAATACCCCATCAGCCAGTCCCAAGTCGCTCACCCTCAGCTGACCGTCACCCTGAGCCGTGCTCGGCCCCGGCAGCATTTCAGTGGTGGGATGCAACCAAAACCCTATGAAGGGGGCGCAGGGTCCCCAAACCCTGTCTGGGTGGCAAAGGTTGGCCCACCTACGAGTGAAAAAAGTGCTGGCTCCCATCGCCACCAGCCTTCTGTGTTTTCAGCTGCGTTGAACGGAATAAATCCACCGTGGTTCAGCACCCAGAGAAGGCTGTGTCTGGAGACGTGTGTGGGTGTTGAGGCAGTATTGTCTTCTCAAATGACATGATTAACAGGCAGCCGCAGGGCAAGAGAGAGAAAACAATATTCCCCTTTCCTTGCCACCCTTATCTGCAGAGGAAGCTTTTTCTTTAAATTTTAATGAAAAGGGTTTGTTGTTTTGTTTTTTTTTTGTTTTGTTTTTTTTTCTTTGCTCTGGGAGCGTGGAGCAGGCTGTTGTGTGGAAGGCAGCCCATCCTGGGCATCCCTGACATTAGCAGGCAGTCAGAGCATCCTAATAAAGAGGGACAGGCACTTCAACTTCAAATACGACTAGCTACAACTGTTGGCATTTTGATTGCATTTGAACCCTGGACATTTAATGGCAGCAAATGAGCCGACCTGGTGGTAAAGCCCACACTGGGTGTCGTAACACAACAGCACCCACTGGACCTGATAAAGCAGAGAATTAAAACCTGTGATGAAGAGCACAGGCAGCAGCACAGCCAGCGCAGGGACCCAAAAGCTGTGGGAAGAACTGACAACTTCAGTGGGTTGCCAGAGAAATACTGCAGTTGGGATGACAGCCTTTCCAACCAGGATTGTGTCTTCCAGAGAGACGCCAACTTCGGAAATCTTCCGCTCGTGACCGAACCGGGTCATGACTTTTTCAACCACATGCGTGTAACGAAAAACACAGATAGAGTATATGTGTCCATACATACATCGAGTTTGGCTTTTCTGTATCGCTGCGGGTCCTTGGCTGGTCACTCCTGGCTTTGGAGTTCTTTGTGCTATGGAATGACTGAGGTTGGAGGGGACCTTTGGAGGTTGTCCAGCCCAAAGCCCCGCTCAGAGCAGACTCAAACCATCCCCTCGCCCAGTGCTCTGCTCCTCACCCGCCAGCGGACCAGCGTAGCTCAACAAGTGGTGTTGAAGTTCCTCGTTCGGAGCAAAAACGTGCTTCTTCCTGACAGATTCACGTGCTGGCCAGGTGAGGGAGGAGGCATCATCCCCCTTTCAGGGAGAGACACGGACCTTCCCAGTGCCACAGCCTCTGGAAGGAAGCAGCAGCCCTGGGGTACACCCAGTCACCCCAAATTCTGGTACAGGAGCCATCAGAGGCATCTTTCTCAGTCCCTTCTGTTGTGGCTTCATTGAGAAGGGTATGAAGAGTTGCTGTAGAGCTGATCGGCATTTGAAGAGGCCTTTAATAAAGGCGGGAGGTCCCTTCAACACAAACAACGTCCAGGCACCAGCTGGCTCGGCAGCAACCTGAATTGCTTGCGTTTGGTTAAGCTCAGCCCTGTCAAACTTGTGGCCTGTTGAGCTTAAACGCAGGGTCCTGAGGAGCATCTTAATAAAGTCAGGGCACTAATAAATCAGCGAGCTGAAATGAATAGTTCTCCGAGACTATAAAACTTGAGACCCCCCCAGCACTGGGTTGGCTACAGCTCATCCTGTTTCCAGCCCCACAGGGACCCTGTTTTCCCTTTTAAAACAGTCTTAAGCCTTATTTTAAACACTAGGAACTTGTCTGTAACTTCATGTCTGTACACGCTCTCATCTTTTGAATGCACCTCATGCACCGGAGGCATAGATTAAAAACCGGTGGCTAGCCAAGGGGTGACATTTCAGAGCAGCACTCAAGCCATGAGACACTTTTCAAATGTCTTCAGGCTTCCCTGATGCCACAAATGTGACTGCCTCAATTTTTTTTCTGTTTGCGCTGACATTAATTTCTGGCACTACCTGATGCAGGAGCGAGAGGGGAGGAGAGGGTTGGCAGAGGGACAAGCTGGGCAGTGGGTATTTGTGGGGCTTTTATGAGAAGGAGGAAAGATCCTTGCTGCTTTGCTGCTCAGTTTTGATATTGTATAATAGAGAAGCCAAAAAAATTGCCAATAATGAGCAGATTAAAGGAATCACCCTTGAGAAAAAAACCAGATTTTTATCAGAAAGCTTATTTGGGAGGTGAATTATTTTTGTTAATTTGATGCTATAAATCATTTACCTTAATAGCCCTGAGCTGGTGGGGGGGATCCCTGGGGTTACTGGGTGTTCGGGCACGGCTGCCGTGGTCCTGGGGGATGAATCAGCTCCGGTCCCTGCAGCCCAGCGCCGGCTCACCGGGCTGGAGCAACGAGGGCTGGTCTGTGTCCTGATGCTTCTCCTCGTGGTCTCGTCCATCTTGCAGCCAACTTTTAGGAGAATGAGATACTAAGTTAGCGGGCAACTGAGCAGAAAAATCCGGGTGCATCGATGGGGCATCCAATGCTATTTGTACTAGGGGTTGGGTACAGAAACAGGAGGAGAGTTTCAGGGAATTTTTTTTTTTTTTTTTTTTTCCTTTAGTCCCTGAGTGAAGCCAAAAAAATGAGCCAAGTGATGGGTGCGGGGCGAAGGCGGGGAGCATTGCTGCTGATTTTGGCAGGAACACAGCAAGGGGCTGGGGCTGAACGCCTGCTCCCCCAACCCCCATGTACTTCTAGCAGAGCTGCCGCACCTGATTTAAAAGCAAACCCAAACCAGTATTTATTTCTATTACCCCTGTGTGTTTTTGCAGGCCCAAACTGCTTTGCGGGAACCACGATAATTCCCGCCGGCATCGAAGTGAAGGTGGACGACTGCAACATCTGCCACTGCCACAACGGGGACTGGTGGAAGCCGGCGCAGTGCTCCAAGCGCGAGTGCCAGGGCAAGCAGGCTCTGTAGAAGCAGAACCTCCCGCCGGCCAAACCGCCCACCGACGACGACGATGATGATGACAATGACGAAGGAACGGCTTCGACGCTGCACACGCGGCCGACCTCCCGCCAGCTGCCACGGGGTCACCAGCAAAAACCTGTGAGGGTTTCACACAAGCAGAGATTTCGCGCGTGGGGAAGGGGCTCCCTCTCCCCGCTCTCCTGCTCTTCTCTCACTTTACCCATTATGTATCCAGTATCTAGGTATCTACTCTGCTTTTGTAATTATCAGTGCTTGATAGGGATGCGGTGATCAGATTTGGGGAGGAAAAAAAAGGAAAACGGCCCATGCAAGTTCTTGGACTGGTGACACCTCCAAGATGCCGATCAACTCACCGCTCTCACTTTCTACAATGTGGATCGCGGGGTTTTTCAAATTTATTTATTTAAGGTTTTTTTGCTATTGTGATTTTTATTTTATTTTTTTTTTAAGCCTCTTCCTAAGCTGGGATCATTGGGGCAATACAGCTATGAGTGAAGTGGTGGATCGTTTTTATCGTGTCTATAAGGGGGTGCCGCTAAGGACAGGAGGGAGGTAGAAATTAAAAAGGGGAGGAAGGGGTTAAAAAAAAAAAAAAAAAAAACAACAAAAACAAAAAACCAAAACACAACCCAACTGGAATGTAAGCTGCAGAAGGACCGCGGTAGATGCACGGGTATACAACCAGAGAGCCAAGACACAAGCTGCATCTGTGTTACACTTTCTCCACTGAGTGGGGACAAATAAAGTCAAAGACACCTCCGCAGTCACCGTGACCCTGACCGGAGCACGAGCCAACACCGGCTGCGCGGGCAGGCGGGGGCAGTGAGCCAAAAGCACTGGAAAGTCCCCGAAAAAGCAGTGTTCCCCCCCCGGGTTGTCTCCGTGGGATGCCTGGCTGGGGTGTCGGTGGCGGAGCAGGGGGAGGAGGGTCCCACCCGCGCCCCAGCTGCCGGGCTGAGCCCCAGCCCTGGTTTGCGGGCGCGGAGGCTGCTGTGGCTGGAGCCCGGGGCTCCGCTTCATTGACTTCAGCGACAGCGCGACGCCGCGAATCAAAATTAAGATCTTTGAGATCCCCCCACCCCTCCCGCCTCTGCCCATCACCCTTAAGGGAGGTTTCCAGAATCATCCCATCGCTGTGCCAGCCCTAAACTGGCGGGTAAGACCCTTTGCTGCAGCGTGAGGGAGCTGCCCTGGCTCTCCCCCAGTGCCCGGAGCATCCCTGCTGCTGGGGATAAAGCAAGCCTGGGGGGAGCTGAGGGTGGGCTGGCCGCGGCCACGGGAATCAGCTCCTGCTGAAGGGTCTCTCTAGAAAGTAGCTACATGGCTGCCTACCTGCCTGCCAGGAGGAAAGGTCCTTGCAGTCCCCGCCAGCAGCCGAGGGTCCCCACTGGGCTTTTCGGCACCCGCCACCTCTTGCTTTCTCAGGCTGCAGCTTCCGAGCGATACTGTGAGCGAAAATGCCACCAACGCCTGCCCTGCCCTGGTGAGCGCAGGAGGAGCCGCTCCCATCCCCATCCACGCTTGGTTTGTTGCTTTTTGGTCACGGCCATGACCATGGGTGACGGTGCTTATTTTGTTCCGACTTCAGCCCAGCGCCTGCTCTTAACAGCGGCGGCAGCAACTCGTCCTTTCTGCATCCTCCACCGAAGCGGATCCGCATAGTCCGTCTTGGTTTATGCACACTGTTGCCTTTATATCTTTATTTCTTCCCCCATCTTTGCGTTTTACCAGAGGGCAAGGGGTGGGACGAGCAGTAGCGCAGTGATTGCCGTGCTTCGGCTGAGCATTGGCTTCCTGCGAGTAGAACTGGTACCATTAAAGAAGTCATCGCCACATTTCTTTGTAAGCTGTTGCCTATCAACGACTATCCAGTTTCAAACTTTTCAAACAATAGTGTGCCTGAAACTAGTGAGAAAAAAAAAAAAATCTGTAAAAAAATGGGGGGGTCTAGAAACAATATTTGATGTGTAAAAGACTATATTATTAAAAAATTATTTTGTTAAATATAAAGTGTGTGAACCAGCAAAAAAACCCCCCAAGTTATATATTTGTGGTGTATTTTACTCTGCTGATCATCATCCCCTCAAGTTCCCAATTCCCCATCCCATCTCCGGACTCTCTGCAGTGTTGGTGAGTGCAGCAACGCAGCTGGGCCGGGAGGAGCGGGCCCGGAGCCTGGAAATAGCTGTGCAAGTCCTACACTGGGGATGGGCAGGGCTGCCCAGGGAGCTCCTCAGCAGAAAAATCAGTAAATCAGCTTTGCTTTGTCACAAGATACGCGCCAAACTGGGATTCCCTTTTGGGGAACCGTCGTGGCCCGACGCAACTCCCAGGCTCTCGCTTTAACCTCCATCTGGTTCTGTTGTCACTGGTGCCATTTTATATTTGATGCCACTTCCTGAACATGGAAATTTGCTTTCAGTTCACAAACTCCATTTGGTACCTCCAGATGCATCATTATTTACGCTGATTAGTAGTTACTTTAATTAATTACAGCTTAATTACTGTAGTTAATGTTTGTACAGTGCTTGGAACAAGTACAGCACTATACGTGCCACATATTATTATTTTCTTCATTGTTAATTAAGCACCATCTCCATTCCATGCTGTACTACTTCATTACTTCCCAAAGAGTCACAGCAGTGCCCTTACCCCCACCCAGGAGCACTTTACTCCTGGCTCTCCTCAGGGATGCTGTGGGGCTGGCTGCCACGCAGCACGGGAGCGGGAAGAGCAGTATCTACGGCGAGTGGGATTGCTAAGCAATGTGGGGATGCTCATTTTTTTTTGCCCCCTTCACCCTTTCAGGACACTGAGTCTAAAAAACAAATGGGGAAAAAAAAAAAAAAATGCCGGTGACAGGGGGACGCCCCAAGGACCACGCACGGTGATCTTGGAGCGTGTGGTTGGGTGAAGCGAGGGGGAAGCCCTGCAGATCCCAGCATAGGTGTTTCTGTGAGGTCGCCGCGAGATGCTGGCTCGGGCTGTAGGAGGGACCCGGTTCCCCCAAACCCGGCAGCGTTAGGGCCCGTGGTCCCGCTGAGGGATCCCAGAGCTGCCCCCTCCTCCGAGCACCAAGGCAGCGGCGGGGCAAGGGCCGGGGTCGCGGGGAGGAGAGATGGGCACAGATCAGCTTTGCTGGGGGCTCATGGGAAAGGGTCAGTGGTCACGGGTGGGCAGTGTTTCCACAGCACCCGGGGTGCTTGGAGCAATAGCCCCCAAAATCACTGCCACCGGCTCTGCTTTGCAGCAGCCCTTCTCAGGCCAGACAGAGTGGATCCAGCATTAAAATCCCGTAAAGCACTCTCCAGATACACTATTTTTCTTATGAACCAAAGAGTTTCAGCCTCATCTCAATCTCCTTCCTTTCTGCCTTTTTTTTTTTTTTTTTATAAAATGTTTTAGTTCATTTCTCCCTTTAATTAATCACAGCTCTGGGCCAGCCAGACCCATTAACTACTCTTCTCATTTAGACCTTTCAGAGATGCAGTTTGCAGATGCAATTTAATTTGTTGACCCATGATCGATAGCAATTAATACCATCTCTTTAATCTTGTTGAAAGGTTCGTCTTGGGCTTCCAGAGGCTGCCATCTCAAGGGAAAGGTGTCTGATACATATGTTATTAGATGGGGGAGCACAACCTCTTCCACACGTGCTGTCCTTCCCTTCCCCCTGGGCTCACACTCTTGAAAATACAAGAGAGATTTGTGGGAGCTGGAGAGGAGGAGAAGGTCAACAAAAGTGATGGAAGATGCTGAGGGGTAGAGAGAAGAGCAGGGGGCTTGGTAGGGCAGAAAGCCAGGGGAAGGTGGAGTTGATGGGTTGGAAAGATGAGGGATAAAGGGGACAGCATGAGGGGAGTCAGAAATGATAGTCGAGGAGACATGGATAGAAAAGGAAGCCAAAAGAACTTGAATTGGAGCAAAAGAGCGGGTCAGAGAGCTTGGAGGCAACACCTTCAGCACGAGTAATGGTGAATCTTGTAGAAGAAACACACTCGGAGCCAGAAAGACAATTCTTCCTCATGGGGTGCTTTACACCCAAGTCTCACTTTGAGGTGATGCCATTTTTTGCCCTCCCGAGTGCAGCAGATGCATACAGCCTCCCTCCTCCTCCTCCAAGCAGTGGGAAATCCCACCCCGAGAGCATCCCCTTTTCCCCATCCTCATTAATATGCCGTTACCCAAGATTATTTTATAATTACGCAATTATTTCCTGCACGCCCCAGGGAGGAGGAGCTGTCCCCGCTCCGGAGCACCTGCAGTGCATCAGCAGGGGCATGTCTTTCTCCCCCAGGAGCCTGCAAGGCACACCCCAAACCAGGCTAAGGCTGGGAAAAACCTGGACTTTGGGTACTCCCCATCCTACCAGCCCACCCAGAGGACTGCCCGCGGCACCGGGATGCTGAGCGCCAGCGCTCCGAGTCGGCAGCACGCGATGGCTTCAGTGGCACCTACTGACCTGTCTGATGTGACCGGCGCCTGGCGCGGCTGTCCCAGCCAGCAGGGACGCCGGATCCACTGCAGCAACCCCTCCTCAGCCACAGCTCCCCTACATGCGAAGGCAAAGAGCAAAGCCTCGGCTTCCAGCACGGCACGAGCAATGACGTGTTTCTCTTTGGTGTCTGTTAAAGGGGAAAAGAGGGCCCAGGTAAATGTAGAGCAAACGAACGCCCTTTATACAGCAAAATTACACAGTTTTGCAACAGCAAGTCAGTACAGAAAATGAAAAATTTATCAAAAATCCACCTTCCTTTGTGGTGTGGAAGCTCAGCTTTTAAAACACAGGGACTAGAGCGCACAGAAATGACATAAATACCTGTATTTACAGATTTAATATAACATGCATATATTTATATTTGCAGACATACTTCCTACCTTTTCAGGGTAATTTTTTTTAGTGAAATTATCTTTTTACCATGACTAACTGTAGTATCTGAAAGAGCTCTGCTCTCAGAAGATGCCAGTTCATGCCGCCACACAGCCACACTCTTCCTGCGTGCTCCCAGGAGAGACAGCGACACCCCCGGGCCACAGGCTGCAGTGAGCTTTGCACCCAAATATGCCCAGCATAAAACAATGTCCAGGATGACATGGTGACACGTATTTCCCTGTCAACATAGGAGCTCTGGGAACATGACTATTTCGGTTCACATACCAAGGTGACAGAGATCCTTTGAGTTCTCTTTAAGGGGCTTCTCAAAGCACAGGATTTTGTAGGACAACCATGAACTTGGTCCACCCTCCAAGCCACCGAGAGAGAAGCTGACCAGGGAAACCCTTTAGCCACCATGGCCATAGATTGGTGTCCAAATAAATAGCAGAGGAGCACAGAGTAGATGGTTGGTATTTTTTTTCCAGCAGCTCCACACAGGAAAAAAAAACACCTGAGATCCACAGAAACCCCTACAACATATCATCTTAATGCAGGTAACTGCCCTCGGTCACTTAATTACTCCTTTGGCAATTCCCTTCCCTGTACCCATGGACATGCGTGCTGACAGTCTGCGAGTAGGGAGCAGGCAGGCCAGCACCAATATCCCATAAAGTGAACAGCAGCCAGAGGCCCTGACGTAGCCAAGGGATCCATATTAAGCCACATAAAATATTATTTTGGGCCTTACTGTGCTTTATGTGCATAACTAGCCCAAAGCAGGAAAGAATAAGCCCTTGACATGCCCATGGTGTGCTTCTGGGCACAGGATGTGCAAGCCCAGACAAAGGGATAATTATACACAAGGACACTGGAAGGAAAGACAAAACCCAACAAGAAAGCTAAGTTGGGCTCCTTTGGGATGCCACAGAACTAGATGGTGTCCCCACCAGTGCTGCTGGTGCCCTCCTCGCTGAGGCCAGGGGCTGGGTGACGGTTGCACCCATCCACACAGATGGTCTCATCTTTTGGGCAGGCAGCTGGTTGGGTGTTACCGATGGCTGTTCAGCAAGAGATGGACAAAGCCCCGCCTTGCTCAGGGAGCTCGTGTCCTCTGACGGTGCTGGTTCCCCTGGGGTCACTGATTCATTAGTTACCTAAGTCCCTGGGAGCCGCCAGTCCACGTCTTCTTGGCACTGGGCTTTCCAAAGAAGGTGGCAAGAGGGTGGGTAGAGTAGCACCAAGAGACATTATCTGACAGTTTCAGAGCATCCTTCCCAACCCATCCCTCGGCTCACGCAGCATCCGTGGTGCTGGTACCTGTGCCTGACCCTGTCTGCACGCTCAGAGCTGTGTCCTCCACTTCAGTGGCCCAACTGATCAGGCAAAAGGACCCTTTGCCGTGTGACTTTCTGATGTTTGCTTCAGATAGAGGAGATGGCGATCTGGCGAAAGGAGGGAGAGAGGGAAAGAGTGAGCCTGAGCTATTAGACTTGTTTCAGTGGGACAGAGCAGGGTGTCAATAATAATTAATGCCACCATTAAAGATGCTCATTTAGATTGTAAGGCATCTGGCACTGGAAAGGATGCCGTCAAGGTACTTTTGGTCATTACAACACACGGTATTTCATGTTGCTGTTCTCTTTATAGTGATAACCCATGCAAGCTTGAAGAGAAACCGCTGGGCCACTCTCCCCCCTGGTTACCTGCAGGGATTATCCCTTCAGGTATTTCAACGGTGGCTTAGCTCTGTGTTTCTCCAAACAGCCAAATCCTAGCCTAGGGACTTCTGCAAAAATTATATGAACCTGGAAGGCAAAACTCCAAGGAAGCAGGTGAAAAATGGGGCTCGCCAGGCTTTACATTGTCCCTGTGAATGATGCACGATGAGGAGAGCAGAGCCTGCAGACCAAGCCTTGGAGCAGGCTGCGAAGATGGAGCTTCCTACCTCCAGCTGTGCGGCCAGCGTGCCAGGCACTGGGGGGACTGGGGCTGGTGGGCTCCAGCGTTCAGAGCCTTGGGTCCTACCTTGAAGGACTTCAGAGGAGGCTGCAATAAAGGCAGGGTGAGGCGTTCAGCTGGCCTGTTGAAAAGCATCACCTTAAGTGTTTGCATCATCACTGCCACCAAGTACGCGATTAATAAAAATCATTTCAGTTTAATAGATGGGGACTGGTGATTTTTGCTCTTTTCATTAGTTAGATGGCTTGATGGATGCACCCTCTGCCTTGCTTGAACAGTTTTCTGGATTTCCTAGGGCCCAGCTGCGGTCCTATAATTTAGCCGTATTTGCCTTTTCTCTCTCTCTCCTTTTTTTTTTTTTTTTTTAAAGGACAAAAGCTTTGGGAAAGGGAAGAGAGAAAAAATGTGAGGAACTTGCTCTCCAGCAAATAATCCACTCCCATACGTGCTGAAACGCTCGTTTTGCAGTCCATTAAGCTCAAGTTAATGCAGGTAGAACATGTCTGGCATCAAGAGGATGGTAAAGGCTTCGGGTTTTAATTTTACTCAGATGAAAAATCCTACACGTTCCTGGCTTGTGCCGGTACTTCTGCAACAAAGACAACAGGCCCCCCAGGAAGCATGAGGCCAAGGTTAAAGCACTTCTAAGTCAAGATGCTACGATACCCAAAGAAGCAATTTCCAATTGTATTGCATATCTTCTGGTGCTTTATCGGCATGAATAGAAACTGCGAGGGAAAGGGGTGTGTGGGGACCCATTGGAGCTGCAGATGGCTTTAAATTTCCCCTAACTTTCTCTGGATTCAAGGTTATCCTCTTGGCTTGCTGCAGGCCTGCACGCTTGGGCTAATGACATTTCTAAACAAATAGTAGCATTGCCCCTCCTCGTGCTGCCAGTGTGGGAAGAAAGCAAACGGAGATGTGCCTCGAAACTAAACCATGTTTGTTATCATGCTGTCAAGCTCTTTAGTCATTGTGGTTTTACCTAAAACCGGTGGGATTTGGGATGGCTTGTCAGCAGCGTGAAAAACAACAAATGGAAGGAAACGCAGGTGCCTCAGGCACCGGGGCAGGAGGCACGTGGGAAAGACAGCCCTTTGCAACCTTTAAAATTTCCCTGATGGTCAAAGACTCTCCCTGGGTTAGTGGGCAGTGCAGGAGAAGTGGAGAGACCAGAAACCCCGTGAGGTGGAGATACCACAAATGCCACGAAACAATGGGGTTTCCCTGCCTGCTCCTCTCGGGTGCTTCTGAGAAGATACAAGGCTGCTCTCCGTCCAGCCGGAGCTGGAGACTGGGGCATCGTCTGCCATCCCACCTCTCACCAAAACTGCTAGCAGCAACCTGGGCTCCATCCTTCTGGCTCTGAGAAAGTGGGATCACAAACCAAAGCCACCACTTCCTAGGCCAAACTCACCCAATATTTGTATGCTACCAGTGACTGTGATGCCTTGTAGCAGAAATACAGGGACTTTCTTCTGTGCAGGGGCAACAGTGCTGGAGCCTTGTCCTAGGGCAACCTTGAAGTGTCACAGCCTTCCTGTTACCAATAAAGAGAAAAGAGAAACTGAGCAGGTTAGAGAACATGAAAAAGAAAGAAACATGAAAACAGCTGAGCGACATTCCCTTCAAACAAGTACAATTTGGGACCAGAAGCTGCTCCTGGAGAAGATGCAAGGGAAAACCTTGGCCTCCTGTGACGATGCTACATCCAGCACCAGCAACACCAGGAGTCTCTCATCATTCCCCATCCCCAATATTAATAGCTCCATTCACCACGGCAAATTATTCCCATGGGTATGAGCAACAGGCCCCTCAATCCAATTTTCTCATATCTATTTGGTGATAAACATAGATTAATCCGATGCCAGCTAATCTGCACCACATCTCTGACCCTGGAAACTTGTGCCTTTTGCAGGTGAAGGTGAACTTGGTACTTTTCCAGATGCTGTTATTTGGATGCACCGTGTAATATCAAAGTGACAATGGCTGGAAATGCAATATCAGTAAGATAGATCACATCAAAAACTGGGCCAATTTAGTTATATTAAATTAGTGCACAGTCTCAAATTCCTAAAGAGAAGCAGCTGGCATAAAAGTGATATAACTATCAATGCAACATCTTATGAGTTTTATTCCTTTTAGTTTTTATTAACAAATTTTTCATCCTTCCCCTGCTGTGGAAATGCCATGTGATAAAGGGCGAGGGCTTGCTTACCTGCAAAACAAGAGTTTTATTACTTGTTCTGAAATAGATCATTTACAACAACAAGTGGTATTAATAAAGTTCAGGGATAGCCAATTGCAGGGAGCTGTGTTTCACATCACTGTGAGCGAGCGCTAACTTTAGGAAGGAAAATGAAATGTTAACCAAAAAGCCATTTCCAAGAGAAATAGTCCCACTGTACACAATCAAACTAATAAAAGCATGCAGTCATGTAACACAAGGAAATTCCTCCTTCTCTTGGTCACAAATAATTTTTTCCTCATTTCCCCATGTTCTCGGTCTCAGAACACAATTGCAGACTTCTATCAGTTTTGTTGGCAAATTTATGCAGCTCTTTACTGCTCACCTACTTCTCATCTCAGTCTTTTTCATTAATGAATCACGGAAGCGTTAATTAACGTTTAAGAGGCAGATAGCAGTGTGTTTTGGTTTTTGTTTTTTTGGGGTTTTTTTTTTCCCCTCCTTCTTCTTCTGTGGACCACTTAATCAAAGGTCCGCCTGTTCAGTTTTAAGTGGAAATCCAGAAATTGAGAACAGCTGCATTTTCAGATGTAGATTGTGATTTACAGACCCAGCAGGAAACATTTGAATATAAAATTTTAAATGAAAAGGGACCTAAAGGAGCATCAGTTTCCAGAAGAGGCCCAGCCTTCATCAACCCTTCTGGAGATGCCTTACAAGTTAACTTTTTTGTGGAATAATCAAACCTATTGCAGTGACCAAGGAAAAGGAGAGCTCTTCTGAAAACTTGACTCGAGACGTCAGCTTACCTGCACTCTTGGCAGCAAAACGAAGGCAAAGTCTGGATACGTGGGCTGCTCTTTGGTCTTGGTGGCTGAAGAGTGGAAGAGCTCCGAGGTGGACTTCCACGCAGCTGTGGTGTGGGGGAAATGGCACCAAGGTCTCAAGAAGGTGGGACCCGGGTGTCCCTCGGCCATTGGTATGTCCGGTGGCTCTTTACCCCTGGCTTGTGCAGGAGGAGGTTGAATGTTCAGGGTAAACAGCCGTATTTTATGGGTTCCGATACAAAACCCATTCATTCTCATCGAAACAATAAAGACTGAGGGCTTAGCACTTCTGAAAAGTCAGGTTTGTGGTGTTTTCAAGACTGAAATCCTGAACTGAGACGGAAAAAAACAAAGGAACCAAAGTTATTGGATGTGATTTAGTCAAGGGCTCCGGCACAGGCAGGGCTGGATGTTGGTGTCTCAGGATCCTGTCCTTGACACCAGTCATCAAGATGTGCCACTGGGATGAGAAAGATGCACAACGATAACGGCTAAAACTAAAAACAACGAAGGGGAGCTGCTTCGAGGCAGAACAGGCTAACTCTGTCTTCTCATCAGACAAACCCTTTGACAGACCCTCCCAAGGCACAAATCACTGCGTGTGTGCCATCTTTCTAAATGAAATGTTGCTACAATAACAGATCTCAAGTGTCCCCTGAAGGCACGCTGTTCGATATTTATAATCACTTCATAAACACATGAGAAATGGCATGGTACAGCCCTACATAATCTATGTGCAATGATCCTTGGTGACAAAGTGTAAGTGACCAAATCCCTTTCCAGGTCTAATGATACTTTGCTCTAGTAAGCCAGTGATATATCTCATATGGCAAAAATAAAGCACTCATGCATAAAATTAATACAGTAAGCTCTGAAGTCATAAAGCTTTCAGTCTGTGATATATTAGATGGGAAAATGACTAACCTGTAATTTGAGTTCTCCCATTGCCTTATTCCCCATAGGTTGTAGGGTCACCTAGGCATTGCGTGATCAAACCAGGCCTTTTCAGAAGCATATGAATTATTAACCAACCAGTTAGGAAGCCCATTAGGATCATGTGCATAAAAAGCCCTGCGAGGACACAGGTAGCAGCTTCTCCTCACAGAGGTCAATGTTTCCAAACCTGCATGAGAAATCTTACGGCAAATCACTTCCATCAACTTTGCTCCCCTTACTCCTTCTGGAAGGGCTCGTGGTTTGATCAAAGGCGTTGGGTCTAAAGTCTACTTACTGAAGAAGCTGGGCCCTCTTTCTAGGCAAGTTTCT